GAGGGGGAGAAGGAGTGTAGGGGGCAGGATTGCAGGATATACCCTTTGGTTGGTTGATGATGCATGGAGGGGATTGTAACCATGGCAATGAAACGATATACGATAGAATGAATGTAAAACTAATGTTCTCCCATGTAAACGATCACATAATGCACAGTAAAACATAAAAAAAAAAAAATTCTATCCTGTGGTCTTCAACATAATTTTTATCACTAAGGCCATATTTTCCAACTAATGATCTTACTTTTTTTGTTGCAAACCCGTACATTACAACAACCAGTTATTCATTATCAACGTATCTTGACTGCATGCTTAATTACTTTCAGGCTGAAGAAGCTGGTAGAATTCTTAAATTTCATCATCACTTGCTTTAACGACTGGTACGTAAATTTGTATAATAGTTGTATTAACTGGTCTTCGTTGTAGGTGTGTGGTTTTTATTCTATCGTAGACAGCATTGTATTTCCAGATAGCCCTTGAAACTTTTTTTTTTTTTTTTCACAATGAATGTGATGGCGTTCCTCTTCAATTTTACCTTCGCTGCATAGTAAACCATATTATTATCTGATTCAAATGGCCAATGCCAGTGCTTTTCATCTCACTAATACATTGCATTTCATTTTTGATCACTTCCATTTTTCCTAGATTTATAGTTCATACATCCATATTCTGTTTATTACTGGATATTTGCAACTGTTTATGTTTATTTTCAGTTTTTCTGCATTAGCAAATGAAGGTTCTGGAAGTTTTAATCCATTCACATCATTTTTACCAAGTACACCTGAAGACACAGTCATATTCTGAGTGCTTTCCAACTGAAGGGGCTCATCTTCTGGTACTATATCTGAAAATGCTCTGTTGTTATTCATGCTGTTTTCATTTTCCAGTTCTCATCCATATTAAAGTCAATTCATCCTATAGCTGGAGTTCACTCCATGGTAACTGGTGGCTTCTGGACAGAGGATTTGGTGTGTAAGTTATTGAATATAGGGAAACATGAGAAGAAACAACTTGGCTTACACATCTATGTGTGTCCATCACCTACAACAGTATCTCTGACACATAGTGAATACTCTGTAATTACTAATCAAACAGAAAACAACATGAAGTCATAGAATAAATGTAGGATAATTTAGTGTTCATTTAGGTAATTAGGTAACTTAGTGTTCATTTAGAAGCAAGCCATTACACACAAGTTAGAATTCTGCCTCCATTATTTGCCAGAGTTCAATCTTGGACAAGCATTTGTCCTCTCTGTCCTTCAAAGTTCTCAAGGAAACTATAGTAATAGTACTATAGTCTCAAGTGCTTAGAACAATTATTGGCTAAAATGCTCAAAAACAGTTCACTATTGGGATTTCAGAGTAAGGTCCTGATGTGGCGCTGTGGGTGAATGCATCAGACTGCAAAGTCGTTTGAACTGCAAGGTCAGTGGTTCAAGCTTACCAGCTGCTTCTTGGAAACCCTATACAGGGTTGCTATGGGTCAGAATCGACTCGACGGCACTTAACTACTATTAAGGTCAAAATCAGGCATCTAACAGCAATCAGTTGAGAGCTGATACAGGTTTTGTCACTCTGTGTACATTTTTTTCTTTATACCATTTGGTAGACATCAGAAGGTCTTTCCTTTTCAAAATATCTCTTTCACCATACTACCTGGTTTTTCATATACATGCAGAAATGTCCACCAATGTAATGATTTTTCTAAATTAGGCAATATGACAGTGGACATTTCCTATTATAACAGTATTTCTTAACTTGGAAGGACAGGAACAACTTACTGAGTCCCTGGTTTTTCTATAGCTAGTTTTTGTGTCTCTTTTCCTTTTCATTAACCTTAGCCAAAGATTGGTGTGTCGGAGGATCTGCAAATGGGTTCACACAGGAGAAGCGGAGAAAGAGGAATTTAAAAAGTACACCGAAGCACAAGCAACATTTTTTATCCCATGGAAGCATAGTTCGTGGTTTGTCTGTTCTTGGTTGCTTAAAAATCAAGGGCAATGAACCCCATCCTGAAATAATCAGTAACTTAAATTAAAATTAAGAAGTTGTGAGCATTCTGCTAAAGTCCTGATTTTCTTGGGCCTGAGGCCTCAGGACCATAGTCTTAAAGGACACCAAAACCAATTGGTATAACATAGTCCAAAAAGAAAATGTTCTGAATCCTACTTTGGTGAGTTGCAACTGTGTAACCAATTGTGTAAGTGCAAGTATTATTCTCTCCTCATCTAGGGAGACTCAAACAAACAGTTTATCTGAAGGGCTAATGAATCATTTCAACTTCACCCTTCTCACCCTTGAGACCAGAAGAATTGTATGGTGCCTGGCTATCACTAATGACTATTCTGAAAGGGAACACATTAGAAAGTCCTGGTTAGAGTGAGAAAAAATGTGGAAAAAAACATAAAAGCATTAAAACAACGACAACAAAAAAGACTAGGCTCGTTGGTTGGATTGTGCTAGAACCCCCAAAACCTTTAGTCATCCGGCAAGCCTAGAACTGAATTCACTCAACTTCCAGTCAAATAGGTCTCTAAGGTGAATAAATAACCTAGGGAGGTACTACTCAGAACAAACAACCATCACCATCTGAGATTAAAGGGGCAGTATTTGCCCAGGGACAAAGGTCAGAAAGCAGGAAGGGATATGGAAGGAGAATGGACATGGACACGTGAAACACAGGGAGACAGACGGATGAGCCCTGTTAGATTGTGAGGATTAAAATTAATGGTATGAAACCAAACTTGTATGAATCGGTGAATGGAAAATATTTGCTCTGTAAACTTTTCACCAAATCTGAACATAAAGCTAAATAATGTCCTGATATTGGACAAACCAAGCGACCAAACATTTTCTCAAAAAAAACATTTTACGCTTTGATCTACTTCGGATATTTTGTTAGCATGGTGGGGAGAGGAGGCGAGACATTCAGAGTGGAGATGCAATCCTTTTTATACAAGAATTTGATTAAATCAGATTTAAAAAACAAAACAAAACTTTCTTGTTCCTTTGAGTAATGGGGAGTAGGAGGCAAAAACAAACGTTTTGTCTTGGGCATTTCAGATTTAGCTAACTCCTAGTTCTTTGGAGATGTCCTCCCACACACCCAGTGAGTGGGTGTCTTTTGCACCTCACCGTGGGAGAAAAACGGAGAAACTAGAGCAGAACTGACAAGTAAATGGGAATAGACCAGAAATAAAGCAAAGGGAGCGAAGCTGGAGTGGGAGGGGAGAGGAAAGAGAACAGAAGTGATTTCAGATGAAGTTAGGCTTTTTGTCTTTAACTGAGTATCAAGCCCTGGACCTGGTCAAAGGAGAGGAGAGGGAAAGGAGAGGGCAGTTAGCACCTGAGGCGGATCCTGCCTCCAGTTCTCCTGGGCGGGGAGTCCTGGGAGGCGGTGGAGGCCACACCCCAGGCCTGTGCGTCCCGCGTTTTCAAATTTTTAGCAGAAGCTACTGAGTGATCTGGTGAAGGGAGAAACCAATGAACTATCTTCCCGACAGAATGGGGTCTTCCGGGGCGTCAGGAGCCTCGAATCCCGTGAACTCGCCCCTCGGTTCCAGGAGCGCCGGGTTGTTTGTGCGCGAAACTGGGCGCGGGACTTCCCTGGCCCCGGGCTCCCTAAATCTCGCTGAGACGGAAAGCAGCGGAAGCAGAGGACGCGCCAAGAAGGACCCTTCGGTAGCCCGGGTCCCCGGATCGCTGGCTGGCGAGAACCTAGACCGAGAGACCTGGGTCAGAGAGAAAGTACTCTTTCTTTTGCACCCCGAGAGGTGGTTGGGGACTCCAGGGGACCCTGTACGACAAGAGGAGGCTGGTGGGGAGAGCCTACTCCAGGCAGGTGGAGACCTCCAGGTGCCTGATTGCTCATCTCGATTTCCACAAGAACAGCACATTCCTGGAGGCCACCATGTGGACGCTCCCTCCCGAGCCCAGCAAGGAGACTCCGAAGCCCCACCCAAATCCGTGCTCGTGCGGGTCTTGGATTATCAGGGGACACGAGAGGTGCAGCAGACCACGTGGACGAAGGGCTGCATGACCACGAGGACCGAGGAGCACTCCATGACCGCAGTCACTTTTCGCACCCACAGAGTGTAAAGCAGTTTTGTGGACCCTAGAATCCCTGGGGAACGCCAGGCTCTTTTGTCATGGAGAGAGGCACCCTGCTTCCTTGTCGCGGAGAGAATCATTTCACCGTCTCCAAGGAGGGTAAATAGAAAGGAACCCTGAGGAATGCGCGGCTTTGAGAAATCTGTGATAATCCTTAAAGAGAAAAAAAACATGCTTTTCTGGAACCCTGGCGCCAGAAAGAATCTTTTAGCTGTCGCCAACACTTAAGGGAAGACAGAGGACACCAGACTCAATTTGCAGAACTGTAAGAAAAATAACACTTTTTTTGTGACTTAAAAACCGTGATGACCCGAGATCTAAGTCATTCAGAAGACAGGGGAAAAAGGTATTTCAAATTGGCAGAATATGGGAGTTTTGAAATAAGAAAGTCAGTTGTTGTTTCTTATTGTGCAATAACCTTTTAGTTGAACCCTCCTCTTTTCTCTTCAGGATCTAGAAACAGAAATGAAGGTCTGGTCTGTTTACTCCTAGGGTGGGAGTGGTTGGGAAAACAGATTTGTTTTAAAACTGAAAAAGAAAGGCATGGGTGGGTGAGCTCCAGAAAACAAAACAACAACTAAAATTCTTGTCACTCACTTCTGATTGGCACATTTTTCATCTCCCACGCCTACTCCAAAGATTTGCCAGGGAGAGAGAAAAGTTAGGAAAAGAAGGGGAAAATACAAGATTGAGCCTTTATCTTTAGAAGGACTTCACCCAAACAATATATAATTCAGTCCTGCAAAAATGGAGCCATGTTGCTTTCAGCATGTCTTTAATGTACTGAATTAAAAAAAAAAAATCTAAATGTTAAAAATGTTTTCTGTAAAAAAAAGTACTGCATCTAAGGATAGATGGAACTGTTTGCCATAAAATGAGTGTCTCGTTCTTGTCTATTGTTATTCATCATTAAGCTTGGTAATCAAGAGTGATGAGTACATTTCTAATGGTGCTGTTGAACACACTAAAATCTCTCTTAGTGTTGAAACAATTCATTTAAATTTTTTTTCTGTTATTCCTCTATATTGGTAAACACTCATTTTTATAAACTGTTGGCTCGCATGGAAGCTATTGTGCCTGTTCTGGAGATGTGGGAGGAGCAAAATTCTTCCTTTAGAGATGAGTTTTAGTCCTGGTGTGACTGTAGGACAAGCACTGGACTGTTGACCACAAGTTGGAAGTTCAAACCCATCATTTGTTCCTTGGAAACCCTATAACGGCGGGTAGGGGGACGGCTATGTGATAGAGCTTAAACAGGCTTCATGGCACTTAACAACAACAATATTGTTTGGCTACCCATTACTGAGGGGAGGGCAATAGTTTTGTAGGAGAAGCACTGGACTGGTAACCACAAGGTCTGCGGTTTGAGCCCACCAGCTGCTCTGAATGGGAGGCTATCTGCTTCTGTAAATATTTACAGCCTTGAAAACCCTATACAGGGTCGCTGAGTTAACATCAACAACCCTCTTCTAAATTTGTAGTTGGGTACCACTAAGCCAGCTTCTGAGTGGTTGAACAGTGTTCCCACCCTGTCCCTCCTCTTTTGCCCTGTTTTCAGTTTAGAGCATGAAATGCCCTCAGAGGGTCATCAGATCCAGCTCTTGCTTCATGACAGGCAAAGTAAGTCCTTATTTTACAGATGAGCCAACCTAGGCCTTAGAGATTACATGGCTTGTGTGGATCATACGGCTAGTAATTGCATACTTACTAAATAAACACAGAATATGATAATTTCCCCTCCCTTCCTAAAGGGCTAGAGTCAAAACACAAGAGTCAAAAGATGACAACTTAATAATAATAAATAAAGATGACTGAGGACATCTCCAGCTTTTAATAGAAGAACTAGAATGGCATTGGTGGAGAATCACCACTAGTGAATGATTACCAGTCCTAGAGACCTCTGGAGAATCCAGCACTTGAACTCATCTGTGTTCACATCTACGTTCAGAACTGCTGAAAAACAACTGTTGTTGTTTTTAGGAGCGGGGGAGTTGATTTCGACTCATAATGACCCTGTGTAAGACTTCCAAGTAGTGACTAGTAGGTTTGAACCCCTGACCTTATACTTATGTGTCCAGTGTTTATCCTACAGTGCCACACTAGGACTTGGATTAGCAGATAGAAAAGGCGATTTTCTCTTTTCATTAACATTTTTTTCTTTAACAATTACCCAGTGGAGGCTAAATTTTATGGCAGTCAGATTTCAGACCTGCACTTAAAAATTTGGGTGTGAGCCATACATCCCGCCCCCCCACCCCACACACACACACACTCCCCAGATGATTGAGCATTGAATATAGACCACAATAAAAGTCTCTTTAACAATGACCAGAAATAATCATGTTATTCAGTTGCTTGGTCTAGGTCAACTGTTTGGATTCAAACCCAGTTTCACATCTTACTATCTGTATGATCTTGGGCAGGGTGCCTAGTGTCTGTGTGCCTCTATGTCCTTACCTGTTAAATGGGGATAATAAATAGTATCTACCTCATAGAGTTTTTTTTTTTTTTCTCTCCCTAAGATTAAATGAAAAGTACTTAGAATGTGGCAAGCAATAAATACACAACATTAGCTATTGTTGTTGTTGTCATTATTGTTGTCATTGCTATTGTTTAGTTCACTTTTCATCCTAACCAAACTTTAACCTTTTATTTTACAAAAAAGAGTAGAAGACATCAACACAAGAAATCCTATGAAACGTAAACCTGTTGTTTTAGGAAACCCTTTGTACTTCTAAATGAAAGAATTTATCTCTAGCTTTTCTCAGTTTAATGGATTAGAACATTCCTTGAATTTTTCAAAACGGACTCATCCTAAGACTAGAGACCTAAATTGCAGGGTACATGGCTGAGAGCTTTGAAAGGTCTCATAGACTGGCTGGTTCTCTATCAAGGCTGTTGTTGTTGATAAGTGCTGTTGAGTCAGTTTCTACTCATAGAGACCATGTATAGGGTTTCCGAGGATATGCTGGTGGTTTTGAGCCACTGATCTTTCAGTTAGCAGCACAGTGCTTTATCCTACAGTACCACACCACCCTCTTTGGAGGTTGTTGTTGTTAAGTGTTGTTGTTAAGTGCAGCCCAGGCAGTTCGGACTCATAGCGACCTTGTATAGGTTTCCAAGGAGCGGCTGGTGGATCTGAACCACCGACCTTGCAGCTCAAACTGACCTCATAGTTCAGTGCATTATCCTTTGAATACTTTCTTTAGGCCTTGGTGACGTTAGATTGTTTTCCCTGTGGGGTTTTAAATTTGATGCCCTGTCATCTAGAAAAGCAGAAGAGACACAATTTGTTTTCATTTTAGCTCCTTTTAGTCTAAGTTATATTCATTCAGTTTAATTTCTTTAATCCAAATATGTTGGAGTCCTTGGATGTCATAGTTTGTGCTCAATTCAAACATAATAGTTGGTAATTTGAACCTACTCTGGTGCTGAGAAAGACAGGCCTGACAATCTGTGTTTATGAAGATTACAGTGAAGTAGTTCTACTCAAACACATGGAGTTATCATGAGTTAGCAATGGGTTTGGTGGAGGTTTTTTGAGGTTTTATAAAAATGTTTAAAGAGCTTACCAGTGTATCTGCTCCCCTGTAAACTGCTTACTATCAGGCCTTCTCACATCCCTTAAATATGTCTTACTGAACACAAAAAGTAATAAGATAAACCCAGTGTTGATTTTGCTTTGCAGGTTTCCTGATCCATGCAGAACTCATTCTAGGAGAGGAACCTGAGGAATCCTTTTCCCTTCACAGAGTTCTTTCTGACTGTGATTTCAAATGGGGCATCCTCAGCACTAAGAAAGCTCTGAGCATGACTTGGTCTGCACTTTTTGGTTTTACCTCCACATCAGCCCGGAATGTGACCATCTAAAGTCATTGTATTTGGTGGATGAATCACAATAGGGATTTTCTGGCCACTCAAGTGACCTTTGGATGAATGTCACTGAGTGAGGCCAGGCCCTTCTGAACTACTGTGGTTCAGGCAAATGTTATCTCTATTAAAACCCATTGTCCACAACCTCTGTTGCTTTTGAGATTCATTACATTGGCTTGCTATTCTCAATCTTGTCTTTATCACCTGCGTTTGGTGATAAAGCCTTATGTAACTCTGTTTATAAAAAAAAAAAGAAAGAAAGAAAAATGAAGGAAACATTTTGTAAGGAAAAAGCACAGCAAATAAAAGAAAACAAAACTCACCCATGAACCCTGTTATTGTTAAGTACCGTCGAGTCTGTTCCAACTCATAGTGATCCTCTACCATTTCTGAAGGAGCTTTGGTAGCGTAGTGGTAATGAGTCAGGCTGCTAATCTCAAGGTCAGCAGTTCAAAACTATTAGTGGTTCTGTGGAAGAAAGATGAGGCTTTCTGCTCCTGTAAAGATCTACAGCCATGGAAACCCTATATAGGGTCACTATAAGTCGGAACTGCCTCCACAGCTCATAACCACCACCACCATAGAGTTCTGATGACAGCTGTTGAGTTTGAACTGCTGACCTTGCAGTTCAAATCTGCCTTGAGGCTGAGTGCTTATCCTACATCCCTACACATGAACCCTAATTTCTATGAATATTTTCTATGTTTCCAATATTGTTATGTATAAGATATTTTTATACATACGTATTTGCATAATACACTTTTATGAGTATATCCAAAACAAACAAACCCAAACCCACTGCCCTTGAGTCCATTCTGACTCATAGCAACCCTATAGGCCAGAATCGAACTACCTGATAGGGTTAACAAAACTGTAAATCTTTAGGAAATAAACTGCCACATCTTTCTTATAGAACAGCTGGTAGGTTTGAACTGTCAGCTTTCTGATTAGCAGATGAGTGCTTTAACCTCTATAGCAGTATGGCTCATTTTTATGAATATGTTGTTAAGTGCTGTCGAGTCGGTTCTGACCCATAGCGACCCTGAACAGGGTTTCCGAGGCTGTAAATCTTTACGGGAGCACAAAGCCTATATTAAATAGCATACACACATTTA